GCTCCCATTTGTCCTTAGTGCATTGGGTATATTCCAAGCTATGCACGACTATTTATTAGTGAATAAATACCTAAAAATCTGATAGAAGATACTGCATTCTTTAAGTTATCACCTTTTGTAAAGGCACAGTTACTATAGGCATTATGTAGAAAACACGCAAAGCTTCTGTAGAAGGTATTTCTATTTCACAGCTGTCCCAAGAATGACTAAACTCTTAAACAGATAAAAGTGATTTCAAAGATCTTTGCCTGTGTAAGACACAAAAATCCATGGTATGAAGTATACAAGTTTTCTTTTGAAACACTTAACAGTGATGAGCTCAGTAGTACTACATTTAAAGGAGAAGAACAGCCAGAGCTCTTTTGGCTATACTTCTGTGGATCACAGGAGTATAGTTCATTATGCTCTCCTATGACCCGTTTTCAGCTGACAGTGGGTTGGAGCCCGTTGTTAGCTGGGCCAGGCTGGAGAAAGATCCCAACATTAAAGTTGGGATCCACCCCAGACTCTGGCACCTGGCTCAGCCCTCCACAGCCCTCCACAGCCCAACGCTCTAGTGAGCACTGGGAAGGGGGGGGCACAGCAGACAGCGGCTGATCGTCACCGCTCCCTGCTCAGAACAGCTGTGAGAACTCAGTGTTCAGTGGTCATGTGATTGCTGAGTTCTCACCCTTAGAGCTGTTGGGGGGCAGATGCAGCATTGAACTAATGCTGCATCCAGCTAGGTAAGTATGACTTTTTAGAAAAAAAAAAAAAAGAAATGCCATATTTCTCTGCTTTTGAATCTAAATGCCATACTTCTTTTTTTATCCAAGTCAAGATACACTATATTGCCAAAAGCATTGGGACATCCCTCTAAATCATTGGATTCAGGTGTTCCAATCACCTCCATGACCACAGGTGTATACAATCAAGCACCTAGGCATGCAGACTGCTTCTACAAACATTTGTAAAAGAATGGGTCACTCTCAGGAGCTCAGTGAGTTCAAAATTTGAAATTTCTTTGCTACTAAATATACCAAGGTCAGATGTTAGTGGTATTATAACAAACTGGAAGCAACTGGAAACAACAGCAATTCATCCACAAAGTGGTAGGCTACATAAAATGAAAGAGCCAGGCCAGCACATGCTGAAGCACACAGTGTGCATTAGTCGTCAACTGTCTGCAGAATCAATAGTTAAAGACCTCCAAACTTCATGTGACCCTCAGATTAGCACAACAGTGCATAGAGAGCTTCATGGAATGGGTTTCCATGGCCGGACAGCTATATCCAAGCCTTACATCACCAAGTGCAATGCAAAGCATCGGATGCAGTGGTGTAAAGCAAACCACCAATGGACTCCAGAGCAGTGGAAATGTGTTGTCTTGAGTGACAAATCACTCTTCTCTGTCTGGCAATCTGATGGATGTGTCTGGCTTTGGTGATTGCCAGGAGAACGGTACTTGCCTGACTGCATTGTGCCAAGTGTAAACTTTGGTGGAGGGGGGACTATGGTGTGTGGTTGTTCTTCTGGTGTTGGGCTTGGCTCCTTAGTTCCAATGAAGGGAACTCTTAAGGCGTCAGCAAACTAAGACATTTTGGACAATTTCATGCTCCAAACTTGGTGGGAACAGTTTGGGGCTGGCCCCTTCCTGTTCCAATATGACTGTGCACCAGTGCACAAAGCAAGATCCATAAAGACATAGATGAATGAGTTTGGAGTGGTGGAACTTGATGGGCCTGACCTCAACCCAATAGAACATCTTTGGGATAAATTAAAGCGGAGAATGCAAGCCAGACCTCGTCCAACATCAGTGCATGACCTCACAAATGCGCCTCTGGAAGAATGGTCAAACATTCCCATAGACATGCGCCTAAACCTTGTGCACAGCCTTCCCAGAAGAGTTGAAGCTGTTATAGCTGCAAAGGGCGGGCTAACTCAATATTGAACCTATGGACTAAGACTGGGATGCCATTAAAGTTCATGCCTGTATAAAGGCAGGCATCCCAATACTTTTGGCAATATAGTGTAGCTTTTGAATCTAAATTTCCAAATCTTTATAATTTACCCTAACCTTTAAGCTCTGAAGTCTACAATAGCAAGTTAAAGGAATTTCTTGATTTTTATCCCTTAACTAAATTCAGTCCAACACAGCTGGAAGAATTTAAAGCTGAACTCTGGTCAAACAGCTAAATACACAGCTGAAACACACACATACAGTATATAAGATGTTACCTTCCAAAAATGTTGGTTTTTCAATTACTCTTGCTCTTATGATCTACACACCCCTGAGAAACTGTACAGCCAGAAGGTGACACAAGTGTTCACCACAGCAGCTTCACAGCTACTTGGAGCACTGGCCAAATTCCATTCCTCTCACTGGACATCAATTAAGTGGCAGTGCATTAGTAAAGTCATCCATGTGTTCTCTTCTCCTGTAAGCAAATTGCCAAGAGATAAAAACAGTAAAGCCCAGTACACGCTAGTAAAAAATTGCATGAAAGTTTTTGTAAATAGAGTGATCATTCAATTGTCTTCAGGTTTATGTACTGGTATCAAAATTCAATTCCGGTGGCCTGGATGAAAAAGTTTGAAGGAACTCCATGGAGAATTTTAATCGTTTCTTAACAGAACTTAACAGTTTCTTAACAGTTTTTGGTAAATTTGTCAGTGAGCGGTGCAAAAGAGCCGTAATGTGCTCAAACTCTTTGCCCCCTTTCTTTGTTTTTCCTAATATATAGAGGATTGTGGGAACAGGCCTTGGTCTAGGGGGGCTCTGGAGCAGGCTATGCCCCCAGATTTTCGTTGTGCCCCCCAGATCATTGAGAGTGCATCCACAAATCCATGAGACTTGATAAGGGGGACTCTTATAGGGCTTACCTGTAGGTACAGTAAATATCTCCTAAACGTGCACCGTTTAGGAAATATTTACTTTAGTAACAGTTGATGATGTCACCGGCGCATGCACACTGCGCTCTCAATGGACAGCATGCCGTTCATTAAGAGAGCTGTGCCATGGCTGTGACTCCCGCACACGTGCGTGGGAGTGACAACATTGTGGCTCGGCCATTGAAGTGACTGGAGCTTGTGAACTCGGAAGAAAGAGCAGGTGAAGATGGAAGCCCTGTCAGCAGTGACAGTGCGCCGCTAGATGGCTTTGTTGTTTTGTAAGGTAAGTCCTTCATAATATGCTAGTATCCGATGCACACCAGCACATTATGCTCTTAACTTGCAGGGTGATTTTTTTTTTTTTGATGTTTACTACCGCTTTAAGAACATCTGTCAAGTTTTGTTGTTCTCTATGTCATCATGACCTGTGACACCCATTTCCGCTAATTCCTAATCCTAGTATGACAGGGACAGGAAGTGTCGGGAAATTCTTCCTAGTGTGGACAGAGATAGCAGTAACTGATCATTACTGGTTGGTTGGTTGATTGGTTGGTTGGCTAATACTACACTTTACACCCTGCTGTTTTTGCCTATTATGCAAACCAGATGTCTCAAAATAGGCATATAGCATAAATATTGCAAATATTCAAGAAATTGTGCAGACTAGAAATCCAGTTTTCTCAGAGGAATTATAATATTCAGGTGTTCATACTATTTATACCTACGTTTCAATACATTTTTCTGCTAAACACTGAAGCTTGTAATAGATAACCATTTTTACAAAAAACATGATGAAAGCTTTGCATGTTGTCCTGCTTGAGTGCATAGAGTTCTCTAAAACACTGATTAAAACTCCTGAGCCCTATGGGTGGTCACATCATCAGCATCATAAATAGTGTGCAATGGTGTGCTAAACAAAAGAGCTGCAAGCCTATATTCTGTTTCTCTAGCCACATACTAATTTGTCTGTGGATGACAAAGACGCCATTCACTATACAGACAAATCTTACTCATGTATCTTTGGTTGTAGAACAGTTGAAAAAAAAAACCTCCCAGATTTCTTAAAGATTCACACAGTGTAAGCTGGAAGCCCAGCCGAGCACATCCTGGGAATACGATATACATCAAATGCTGCTGATAAATGTTCTCTTTTATGGGCACTGCCAGAATAAAATAAAATATGACCACAGTATGTATATTTATCATGTGTTGTCAACATGTGATCTAGGATTATTGTTGGGCTGAAATGCTGGCAGTAATGTGCCAGATGGAGATGCTACATACAGTTGATGTGAGTTACGGTTCAGTGACAGCAGGAGATGTTGGCCTTCCATCCCGTGCTTTTTACAAAAAGCCTGCATAGCGAATAACTAAACTTAATGAGATTTGTCAAGTTCCACACTGCCAATACTCACAAAAGCATCATGAATACCTACTATAGGCGCTGTCACCTGAACATACATATGGTTCTGCAGCAGATTTTCATCTCTGGCTGCTTGTTGAAAGGAACCTAGTAGCACTACAGCCAACATTAAAACCCTTACTGCTCCCAGCTTCCCCTTCAAGTAAGTAAATATCTTGCTGATTAAACCCAAACATATAAATGTCGAAATGTCTTTTTTCCTTTCAAGCACACATTGCATTCTGCATTAAATTACCATGCTCAAGACTTGTTCGTTATGAAATCTGGTGACGTTTTTAGAGGCTTATTGGCAAAAGAGTGTTTCCTTTTAGCTCAGCTTGGCTTTGGTTAATGTGCCTTGACTGCCAAAAATAGGTGAAATATAGAAACTTACACTCTCTCCTTTTGCTTCCTACTCACTATCCCACACACTGGGAATCATTTATCTAGTGCCAGGTTGGGTTGATTTTGCGTGATTCCATTTTAACTGCATCAGTATTAGTTTAGTTGCATTTCAGTGTTTTATTATTTCACCACTTTTATGCTTTACAGTTTACCTAATTCTCATCAATTAATAATCAAAGTGTTTTTGGCAAACGCTGCATTGTATGGTTTTAATTCTGCTTACTGTATGTACTACATTTTAAAACAGCGATTATTCTCTGCTCTTATATCAGGCTTATTTTCCTGGATGTTGTTATACAAGGGATTTTTTTGATTTGTGCAGGTGTTCAAGAAGCCATAGTAGTGTGCTTGAACAAGCAGACAGGGGTAGCAATGGGTGAAAGTATGTGTGTGGCCAGCAGGCGACCTCCACCCCTATTGAAAACCTGCAATATGGAAGCATGTCCACCAAGGTAAGTCTACTGAATATCTCATTCTGTATCTGACTGTTGCTTGCAGCATTGTTATTACACAATATGTTTGATTATTATTTATTATGATAGAGTTTCTTTATCATGAATAGGTGCTTATGTAACATTTTTAGGATTGCCCATCTGTATAGGACAGTATATAACATATACGTATTGCTATATCAAAAACAGATCGATTTGTTACTGAGAATGTTTTACACTTTTTTTCCTTTAAGAAATAATATTAAAGACCTAGTGGACTTTTCCTCTGCAATAGCTCATGCTCCCTTCCTGATTAAAGAGCTCTAGCTCTGGCCAGGGCCTCTGCAGAGGGACCCAGGCTTTCACATTGAGAACTAGAGTTCTTCTCTAAAGCATGCTCTCAGGGGACAGTCCTATCTTCTCAGACAGTGGTACTTTCAAAAAAAAATTAACTGTAAGAGCTCTTTCACACTGGCCATAACCTTCTTAATCTGCATTTCCAATGGAAATGGGGACTATTGATGAACTTAAATTGGAAACCAACTTCGATTTGTATCAAATTGAAAATACTTTAATGATATATTTACTCTGTTAATTGTCAGTAACTACATGTTCAGTTTTTTCAGTTAATTATAAACATGAAATGGGTAGTTATGGAGGTTATTCACAAAATGTATACGGTTTTCATAATCTAGTATTAAGTATTAATAAGAAAAAAGCTTTAGACAGACCTGATTGCTAAAGATGAACAAAAAAACACACACTCAGATCATGATGCCATTTGCCCGCCTCTTCACTTCATCCAATCAGAGTAAGCATTGTATTCATTTATAAAAAAAAAACAAGTTTTCCTGTGAATGGCACTCAGTCTGACTTATTTTTTTCCGGCAGCAGGAGAGGAAGTTTCCACACCACTGCTGGAATACAGCGCTGTATACTGTATATAGTTGATGCTACATACAGTTTATACAGCACTGAAAGGGTGCATGTGTTTGTGAAGGAAAATTGTTTATTTGTACTAGCTTGGCCCAAATGAACTATTAAAAGTTAACTGAAAGCTGGAGTTAGGTTTTAAGGAGATTTTACCTCTCTGTCAGCTAAATAGAAGTCATAGGAAGACCAAAAATAAATGAAAAGGCTGAAAAGAGAATCATGGTCAAAGTTTTTTAGTCATACTTCTCTTCTGGGTCTAAGGAGTGCACTTAATTTTGCACTCCTGTGATCTGGAGTCTGCCAACAGCAGGCTAAAGCCCGCTGTTGTCTGACATCACAGTGCCACTTCATGATTTGGAAGGATCCTGACCATATTAACGGGATCTACCCGGATGCCTTACTGGAATGCCTCTGAGAGCCTGAGAGGGCTGCTCCCGCTCCTCACCAGCCCATTGCTCCAGTAAGCGCTGGAGGGACAGAACAGAGAGTTATAACAGACAGTCATAGCTTTCTGCTCCAGGAAAACTGAGAACTGAGCTGTCGGTTAGTCATGTGACTGCTCAGTTCTTGGGCTTAGAGACGACAGAGTACAGCTGCAGCATGGAGGTGAGTATGTATGTTTGTTTTTATATAATCCCACACTTCCCCTTTAATAAATGAAATTGAAAGAAAATGTTTAAATGGGGACACTTGTCTTAAGGACAGAAAGTGAATAGAAGTTTTCCTAGCTGAACAAAGACAGCAGCAACCAATCTGACAGGGATTTCAACCATTAAAAAATAATGTAATAAACACTTTATCAGTTCAGTTCCATAGTAACCATGCTGTGGCTATTAAGGGTGTTATGTCCTTTTAACCATTTATTATATCAAGCAGTTTGTTTCTTTTTTACTTATTTGTACTTACTTTTTTCTGGACAGCTGAAAAGTGCTAGGACACAGTGGGGTTTATTTACTAAAGCTGGAGAGTCCAAAATCAGACTCCCTTCTGCATAGAAACCAATCAGCTTCTAACCTCAGCTTGTTCAATGAAGCTTTGACAATGAAATCTGGAAGCTGATTGGTTTCTATGCAGAAGGGAGTCTGATTCTGGACTCTCCAGCTTTAGTAAATAAACCCCCGTGGGTCAAATTCTAGAAAGAAAGCTTTGGGTTCCACAGCTTCACTGATTGACAAGTGATTGCTTTCAGTGATTACTAACTATGAGTCTATGGGGTTGATTCACTAAATAGTTAACTTCAGTCATCCATTGCATTCAATGCATTCCCCAGTACATGACTGGGTATTTGAGACATACACAAAAACAGCTGAACTCCAGCAAACAACTAAATATACAAATGAAATGCATACATAAAGGCTGTTTTATGCAATATAGGATTTGTATTTCCGTCAATTCATTCTGTAGATTTATGCAGTCCTGCCACATAGCACAGCCAGATAATTGACATAGTTAGTCTGGCTGAAAAAAGACAAATGTCCATTCAGTTCAACCATAAAACCTACACCCACAGTTGATCCAGAGGAAAGCAAAAAAAAACAGCATAGCATGATCCAATTTGCTCCTGCAAGGGAAAATATTCCTTCCTGATCCCCCGAGAAGCAATCGGATATTCCCTAGATCAACTTTACCTTTAAATGTTAGTATCCAGATATATTCAGTGTATCCAAGAAAGAATCCAGGCCTTTCTGTTTTGCAACATGAGTTCAACTTTCACTCACTCTGCTGTCCCTTGCTATGATCATGTTCCTTGGCAGATCATTTGACTGCAGCACACCTTATTGGCTCTCATTGCTGAGTGCTGATTTACATGGGATTTCAAGAAGCTGATACCAAATCAAATTCAGGTAGTTAACTAGTTGTGTTTTTAAAATACATTTAGTGATGCATAAATGAATACAGAGCTGCATTCATTTGTTTCTTTTACATCTGCCTTGAATTTAGTTTTAACTTGGCTAACTTAACATTCTACGCCTTCAGCATAGCACCTTTACATGATGAAGGCTGGTAATTCCAGCCTAGCAGTTGCAAATATACAATTCACATAAATGTGCACACTTATATCATTAAAAACAGCCAGCGCAGATGTTATTTTCTTGTCATTTTATATTATACGTGAACATTGGTTTCAACTACTCGGAGTGTGTTTAAAGGAGCAAATGTTTTTTGTGGCAGGAGCCCTGTAGATTCCTATAAGAATTACCTGCGGGGATGAAATTCTCTCTTAGTAAATATTTTTTATGTTTAGATAATACACTACAAAAATAATAGGCTCCATTCCAATATCAACTCATCGATCTCACCATTGAAGTGGCCACCCGCTGTTGAAGTATATATGATTTGATATCAAAATGGTTGGGCCTCTTATATCCTTAGCCCTCCAGCTAAGGGAATGCTAGTGCGTACACCTGGAGACTTTCAAAAATTTTAAAAATGAAAAAAAAAAAAACAGACTAGCCTATATTCATAAATATCTGCTGGCTTCAAATTAGACTGTTGCAGGCTGAATCTCAAGCTTGATTGACATATATGTATTTTTTATTTAAAAAAAAAACAACTTTGGAGAGCCTCACATTTAGAAAATTTAGTTGTAGATTTACAACCTCTGTCTCTGTGAGAGGGGACCGCATATGGAATATGTGGGGTACTTTACAGACGTTCTGTAAAAAATGCAAAGTAATCAAATGGCAACTTTTACGCTTAAATCATAAAACATGCTGAAAATATGTGCTTAATCCACTAACAGAGTTTCCTGTTGTTTTAAGTGCTCAAACATTTGTAGACTTAACAGTTTTCATCTGCTCTAAATAAACTCGTAATACCTAGAAATGGCAGAGTAGACTTTATTTTAAATGTGTTTTAGGTTCAGCTCTTAAGGCTATGAGAATGGCACTATCTGGCCCTTGAGATAAACTACAAAAGTGTAAAGCAGTAAAATGTACAGGAGTAATCCTTCTCAACTAAATTCACATCCAATCACTTTTTGGCTTGACATGCACTTTTATTTCTTTTAAATGCACTTCAGAGTTAAGGCCCAAAGGATTCAGTAGCCAGATTGTTCTCAAGGTTTTCTTCAAACATGTTTACCTAAGCAGAGTGTAATTTTGTATACTTATTTAATTAATGACAAAGTAATACTATTTGTTCTCAGATCTTCTTCAAGAGCTAGCTACATTGTTGAGGCAAAGCATGTCAATAAAGGTAATCTTCACAATGGAACTCCCCCACTGCAGGTAAGATATATGCCTCAGACCTCCAAACCGTAGTATAAACCAGCCTCCAACCTCCAGGATCAACAGAGATCACTCGCCATAAAGAGATGATTGGTACATAGAAAAAATATATATAGTGTAATACTGCAAGACTCGGACAGGATAAAATGCAAATACCAAACCACTCACATTTTCAAAGAATATAATCAGCATTTATTGTTTAAAATGGAGCCAGAACGTCACATCACCAGGGTTTAAAGATCTCTCAGTCAGGAATAGATGACAGCATAAGAATCCACCCTCAAGCAAGATGGCCCCTGAGAGGAAATGCATCAACGCATTTCGCCCCTCCTCCAGGGCGTTTTCACAGACTGTGAAAAACGCCCTGGAGGAGGGGTGAAACGTATTGACGCATTTCCGGCTTTGCCGCCTAACGTACTACGTCTATTCCGGTGTGCGGCACTCTCAGGAGCCATCTTGCTTGATGGCGGATTCTTATGCTGTCATCTATTGCTGACTAAGAGATCTTTAAACCCTGGTGATGTGGTGTTCTGGCTCCGTATAAAACAATAAATGCTGATTATATTCTTTGAAAATGTGAGTGGTTTGGTATTTGCATTTTATCCTGTCTGAGTCTTGCAGTATTACACTATATATATTTTTTCTCTGTACCAATCATCTCTTTATGGTGAGTGATCTCTGTTGATCCTGGAGGTTGGAGGCTGGTTTATACTACGGTTTGGAGGTTTGAGACATATATCTTACCTGCAGTGGGGGAGTTCCATTTAAACCTGGAGATTGGAGGCTGTACTGATTGGGTCTAGGATTCCTCAAAACCCAAAAACAAGGCGTTTTTTTCACTAATATCTGGTGAGTGCG